ACAATTAAAGGTTGAGTAAGAGTTCAGTCTACCAGAAAGACCAGAACCATACTAGGATTGGTTATGTTTGGTAGTAAAGTTATTTTTGTGAGAGCTAATCTCTAGGTTCTGTGTGTTACCCTTGGCTCCCCACCCCTCACCCCAATTATATTCATGCAACATTTTCCATTCTTCTGGTCAATCTATGAGCCCCAGAAACAATAGAATGACTCAAAGATAGCCTAGTGATATTACAGGCTCACTTTCGGGGCCTAATTATAATTTGAATACGTATTTCTATATTTCCAAGTAGGAGAAGCAACATAAATACATAAAAATAATCTCATGATGGTAGGACACATTATAAAGTATTTTTTTTTATCCGTCATTTGATTTACTTCCTGTAGAAGAGCTTAGTGCTTGCAGGTTTTCAAGGTGAGTGTCTTAAGCAGTGTTTCTGATAAATATCAGCACAAGCATTAGCTCTGAATAGTGATTATTATTTTTATTTATTTATTTTTTTGGTGGATGGCTGGTATGGAGATCCAAACCCATGACCTTGGTGTTACAAGCATCATGCTCTCCCAAGTGAGCTAACCGGCTAGCCCCAGCACTGAGTAATTACATATAAAGAATTTGCAAAGCATTTTTTCTCTATTCCAAATTGATCATGCTGTATTGTCTCGTTTTATTTAGATTACAAGACAAGGTCATCCCACAGCTAGGTGCATAAGAGAGTCCTTTTACTGCTCTGGGCCTTAGCTTTGTCATTTGTCAAGTGAGAATATTGCTGCTATTACTAATAACATCACCAATTACTCCTCACTGGGTTGTAGTGAAGAGTAAAATCATTTATCTGGGTGAACATACAATGTATACAGCTGATAGTTGTAGATGTAAAGTGTAACTTTTGATTGACGAGATTGTTCTCTGCTTCTATCAAGGTGAGTTCAGCTTAATTAATTAATTCTTACCTGTTTCCCCAAATGTTCTGAGATAAGTTCACATCTTATTCCTTTCTGTTTACCCTAAAGTGCCTGCTGGCAAGTGCTGTATGTTCAATGAGAACTCGTTATCGGTTTTTTTTTTTTTTTTCTTTCTTTTTTTTTGGGTCGGGGGAGAACTTATCTTTTGAAGTCCAGTGCTGGAGATTTGTAAGTTACTTATATTTCCACTCAGGATTTCTAAAGTTTCTCATTTGATTTCTAGATTATAATTTCCATTGATAGAACCCTTATAAATATCACAGTAAGAAGTTGAGCATTACCTTTAGGCCAAAGCAATTTACTTTTTAAAAATCTGATTAATTTCAACACAATCAGCCAGGATGTCAGAAGATTTCAGTGCCTCTGATAGATTCTGACAGGCGAAGAAATTAAAATCAGAGAGGAAGCAATTACATACTGGCAAACATTACTTTAATGAGACAACCAAATCATTCATAAGCTATGGAATATGTTGTATTTTTGATTAGTATTTCAGGGTGGTGAGAGAGTGCATTTAAAAATGTTCTTTTTGTGGTATTTGATGATCAGAGAGGAGGACATTCTGTGTTTGTTATTTAGTGCCTTTGGCTTAACCTAACATTTCAATTGCTTCTGGGAACAGTCACCCATGTTTAAAATTATAACATTGTTTAATTTAAACAAACCTTAATGTAAGTAATCTTCTTACCACCACTTCTGTTGCCACATGGAACTTACCAAAATGCACAAAATCTAAACAGTGTAATTCTTGGCCATTTCACGGTGTTTTAGGGATAACCATAGTCATGACCCATGAAAAAAGACATGAAATGTACACTTCATGCAACTTCTAATCAAAAGACGTTGGAATTGTAGCCCTAAGGCAAGAACCCAGGTCCTTGATACCCATTCTATTGTTCTTTTCAAGATAACACTCCCTATTTAGAAAAAACATCTGAGACAACAGGGTTAAAGAATTACGGATTTATTGGCTTAGTGGAAGTGTTTTCAGGGTTCTGTCATAGTGCTTTTTAGTACTATAGAACTTATAAAATATCAAGTATCATGTGTTATCTTTATGCTGGTTTAATACCACATAGTCAGAATTTTTGTTTATAATGTTAGGACCATCATCCTAGGGTTATGTTGCTTCAAATTTGTCTTGAGGTGCAGAGGTAGATTCAGAGGGTGTCATAGTTTATGAAAAACCCATTGAAATTGGTCTCTCTGCTCTCTTCATTTCCCATGTCCTTCTATTCCTTTCTACTTTTTTCATGTACTCTGTCATGTTTTCTGCCTCCTCTACCCCTTTTGGCTTCATTTATTACATTCTTTTTTATTTTTTTATTTCAAAACATAGTAGAAATTATTAATAATCCTATAGCAGTCTTTACTAGGTGTGACGAGTCTTGCTTCACATAGATTTTAATAGGTTGAAGTTCTGCAGCTTTGAGGTTGATTATACAGATTTCTTCATTTGTGGCTGAAATTGCTTCTGGAGGTGAGAACATTTTTCTTGGAAGAGGATGAATGGTTTGACAAAAGATGCAGACATGTCAAGTTCTGAGTCAGCAGCTGTAACATACATGGAGGCAGCCAAGGGTAACTGGCTTCATTACCAAGAAGCTAGAGTGGGATTTGTCAGTTGTCCTGGACGTCTTTATGGATTTATGGAGAACTTCATTGCGTTATGAAATACCCAGGAGCTACTGAGGACACAGGACACACAAACCACGTGAAGAGGGCTGGCGAACTTCTCAGTTAGACGACTTCAGCCTTTCTACCTCTTATGATGAGACTTACCGATGGAGTAGTCTTCACAGAAACTCACTGGTGCAGGCTCCTGTTGTTTCTGTGGCTTGTGTTTTAACACTTTGCCCAAGGATGGTTGCAGCTCTGAAACTTCACTGAGGAGATATGAGAAAGTGTTCATGGTACACTTCAAACACTCCTTCTGCCTTAGTAATGTGCTATTTTCTGGTTAGACCACAGATGTAAAGTCTTCTCCCTCCTCTTTCACTTGCTAGTGGAGCAGAACACGAAACTAAATATGCTTTAGTACATTAACAATTGAATTTTATATGTTATGTACTTGTTTTCACTTTCCTGAAGTTATTAAGTTACTCTCTCCAAATATCACACTCCCAGCTGGGAGGCTACATCATATAGTAGAAGGTTGCTGTATCAAGACACAAGGTTAGATTTTTATCTGCTCCATGTTAGCCATTTGATCTCCAAGGTTTGTTTTCTGTCATTCTAAAATTGGGATAATAAGGTCTCATTGAAGTTATAATGAGGGTGATTTGAGATGTAAGGGTCATGTAATATTTTCCAAACAATAAAATAAAATATAATGATTAAAAGATGATTAATATTTTGCATTGGTGGCAGATAATGATTTTTTTGCAGGACATCTTATCAACTATGTTCTTTTCTTACTCTGATTTAACTACTTTATGAAAATGTGACATTTTAATAAAACTTTCCAGAGGTCTTATACCTCTCAATAAATCAATATGTTATATTAAAATAAATTCCCTTTGTTCTTGCAGTCCAGTTGGAAGCTCATCTCTCTGAACCTAAGGCATGATTATAGGCACAAAACGTTATTATTATTATTTTTTTGCCTCTCATAATGTAGACATATTTTTATTAATAAAACCAATATTTGTATTAACATCTGAAATCCATGCCTACTGCTTTCAAAATCAAACAAAATTATTAACATTTTTAATATAAAATCCTACTATACTTCAATATTATGACTCTATTTGGAGTAGGTTACATTTACAAAATCCCCAAAAGCCAGTATTTTTTATTTTTATCTCATAAAAAAGTAATTTTAAATAACCTAGTTCTTTTTTTGTTGTTGTTGTTACATATGAAGAGTTAGAAGTATTATTTATTTCTTACATTGATCCAATTGAATAATAATAATCTACCAATTTGAAAAGTACATGACTAAACTCATTTTTGGATCCTTATAAAATAGGCACAAAACTTTAAAATGAAGTGTGATTCATCAGCAGATCTTTCCTCTAAAGCAGTGTCTCTTTTGCTTTTTGGGGGTTGAGGGGACATTTGATTTTTAAATTTTCACCCCATGTCTTTTGGAACAAAAGTTCATTGTGTGGTTTGTTGTTGGGTAAATTCATCTGAGATTGACATAGATAAATATTGGGATGTTTTAAAACTAAGGGGTGTGAATCAAAGAAATACCCAACCTAGAGATGTTTTCTAGCATTGCATTGCATGCTTTTAACTTTATCCTTTGATCATATAAACATGGACTCATAGGAAGAAATGTTATCACTGCTCTGTGTAGCTATTGATATGGAATAATGGAGGAAAATCTTCCAAAAAATGCTTAACTTAGGGCAGCTTTGGCTGTGAAGTAGATGTTATTATCCTCATTTACATGTGAGGAAATGGACACAAAGACTTTAATTTGCCTAAGGTCACTGGTCAGAGGAAGAGGAGTCTGATGGGCTCTAAATTCCATGTGCTTTTCCCACTTCCTCCCTTCAGTCAGATAGCTAGTTTTACTTTATGATTTCCCCTTCACCAAGCCTTGTGGACCAAGTCCGTGAGTTGCTTGTCCTCGTGTTTTCCCAGTCTAATAATCTAGGAGAAACTGAGGTAAAGATCACTGACCAGCAGGTAACAGCCCCTGGTTCGAAACTTGAGCTCTGCTGCAGACTGTACTGTGTAATCTTGGGCAAATTACTTACCTTTTCTGACCTTCAGTTTTCACATCTGTAGAATGCGTACAGTAATACCCATTTCACATGGTATTTGTGAAGTTAGTTATGAGAGAGATGGTAGTTGCCTTGTCGTCCTTCCTGTCCCTCTGTGAGCTTCTGTTTCCTTACCTGTGGAGTAAGTGGAGTAATCCCTCCGGCTTCTGCATTGGGTTCTTGTGGGGTGGAATGTGAAATGAATGTGAAAATCTTTTTTACAACAAGAAACTACTATACAGATGTAAGAGTTTATGATTATTAACGAATAAATATAGGCTTAGTGCCTGAGAGTAACTTTTGCCTGTGTCATTTGCAGACACTAGCATTGCAGTTGGCTGATCCTTGGGTCCACTGACCATTTCAGGAGTCGGCTGTCTGAGGTAAGAGAGGATCTGCATCTTCATGTTTATGAAATGCTAATAGGCATCTAAGCCAATAATGTTTGAGGTTGATTTTATTCCCAGTAGAAGAAATAAAAGTACTTCATGAGCAACAACAACAACAAAAAAGAATGAAAAATGGCCAAGACAGTTGCCCTCCTTTTTTTTTTTTTTGTCTTCTTGATTTAATTTTCCCTTTCAGTTCCTAGCCCTAAGGTTTAATACCAAAAGCACAGAAATCTGGGCAGTGTGGAAGATGTAGAATTAACAAGTATTTAAACATGTCATATGCTTTGTGTTGGGATGTTCCTACCCATTGTTTTGTTGTATCTCCAGCTAGTATGTGGCAGAAAGGCTTTCTACCTAGTTTCCTTGCCCTTGCTTGAATGCATTTTCACTACCCTATGCTGCCAGTGTTACCTGGCTCTAAAGTGGCCAAACATTACTACTCAGGTCAGTCACTGTCTCTTAGCTATCCAACAAATCATCTCAAAAAGATACAATCCAAGGCTACAAAAAAAAAAAAAATCCTAAGAACACAGAAAATGAGTTGGAGTCTTTTAAAACCCAGGACTCATAGTATCTGCATGCCACTCTACTGGGGGAACAGTGTGAAGGAGATAGGCCTTTGGCAGAAGAGTATATTTGTCTTGTGTTTGCCAAGAAAACAAAGGCCAATGGGAAAAGAATGTTCAAAGGGAGAATCATAGTTGTAAAATTTGCAAAACGTGATCTTTCTTCTACAGCTAACCTGCTGATATCTACACCTCCTAGTGAGCTCAGCTGTGTTCTCTGCAGAGAACTTTAGAACTTTTAGAAGTCTGAGCCAAAAAGAGGTGATGTAGTCCATACGGTCTTAATAACTGCAGGCCTTGTAGAATAGTAACTTTGTAGAAGATTTGATGTCATTATTTAAAGTACTGTTTATTGAATATTTTGTTAATTCCTTTAGTATATTATTTCCACGATCTTGAACTGCAAAAGGATCACAGACCTTTGAAAAAATTGAAGGTGGTTGGTATTGCCTCATATTTGTAGGACATGTTCAGTTTAGAATTGAGTGGAAATTTTGTGTTAGGTTAATATGATTTTCAAAGTTAATATTCATTATATATATGAAATAAGAACACTTCATATACAAACAAAGTGGGTGATGTATGGACTGTGAAACTCCTATAATTAAATCAGACATAGCAGCCACTTGAGCTGTGAAGATTTTCTTCTCATTCCTACAGAAGAGAGGGTTATTTTAAAAAAGGTAGTAGCAAAATATGCAGGAATGATTCCTGCCCATCTTTTAGTCCCTCTTTAGTCCATAAAATGCTCCTCCTAAAACTTCTTTCCTGTGTATTATTTTCATGGATAAATATATCAGAAAAGAATGTACTAAGACATCTACTATCACAGATTTTTATAGCTTTGTGAAGCAGATCAAACTCGTTCATTTAGAAGCTGCAGTTATTATAATCTTCCCCCAGATATCACTTGTTAAATATTAATAAAATAAGCTTTGAAAAGTGGTTAACTGTACTCTCCTTCCCCACTGAAATCTATCTTGAAACTACAAAAAGGAGTTTTAAGCAAGCCTTGACAAGTTACAAGAAATTGCTCCTGAGAAAGAATGCTCTCTCTCTCTTTCTCTCTCTCTCTCTCTCTCTCTCTCTCTCTCTCTCGCTTTCACTCTCTCTATTCTCTATATTTTGGAGGTAGGGACTAGTGGAGAGGGAAGCATAGAAACTTCTCGGATAACCTTTGGAGGGTGGAGAAGTAAATATTCTGGAGGCATGCTGTAGAAATTTAAAATAATCTTGTGGTAATAATTGGTATCAGTGGCAGTAATGAAGAAAGAATAACAGTTTAAATAAATAATTAGACTTGACAGTAGATGTGTCAACAGGTACCCACTTTTAATGAGTGTAATCATTGTTTTTCTCTGCTCTCGACGCTGATCCACCAACTGTGGTGTGTTCCCTGTCCCATTTCCAAACCAAATCTATTTAAAGCTGCACTTCATGGAATCTGAAACAGTATACCCTGTTTACTATTTGGAGCTGATACCTAATGTTCTTTAATAGGCAAGATCTGCACTTGAACAAGAGTAGGCTTCTGGCCTCCTGTAGACCACTGATTATCCCTGTTTTCCACAGAGTGATTCATTAGCAAGGATGAATAGTACCCAATTAATTCTCATGGACTTGTCTGTATTGCCAGAGTGAATTGTTTGTTACAGTTTGGTGGAAACAGCCTTCGTCTGCCTTCAATAAAGTTAACCAGTTATTGTTTTTTGAAGTGGAGGTAGAAGCAGTAGTTATAAGTGCAATTATTTCCTTAGTTACCTGAGCAGAATTTCATTGTTTCAGGCAAGGAAGCAATGTGTTGAGTGTTATGTGAGCCAGAAGCCATGAGAATGTAATTCTAGTCCCAGCTCTGATGTCAACTGGCTGTGTCACCTTGGGCAAGTCACCTTCTCGCTCTGAAGTCCGTTTGGGCATCTAACAACATTCAAAGTTGTAACAGTTGATCATGGCATTGCTTGTACCTGAATCTCATAGTACGGAGATTCAGAGAGTGGAAATCATTTTTATTTATTTATTTTTTTGAGTCCGAGGTTCAAATCCTGGCTATAATTAATTAGCTATGGCTTTAGTGAAAGCATGCCGCCTGAATCTCATAGTACGGAGATTCAGAGAGTGGAAATCATTTTTATTTATTTATTTTCTTGAGTCCGAGGTTCAAATCCTGGCTATAATTAATTAGCTATGGCTTTAGTGAAAGCATGCCCTTCCTCTCTGCTTCAGTTTCTCCATCTGTGAGATCGGAGCAGGAAGGTGGAATAGACAATGTCAAAGGTTGCTCCAACTTTGATTTTCCTAAGTCTTAGATTTGCCCAAGGCCCCACAGCAAATTTGCCAAGTCAGGTCTTGAATTCAGAACCCCTTTCTTTGGTTTGAGGTGGTTATCATTACAACTTCCACTACCCATACTTTCTAAATAGTGTGTTTGCATCTCTGAGCCTTGCTTTATTAAATAAACTTTTTATCTTTATATCTGTTAGTCGACAGGTCCCTTTCAGTCAAGGTACTTTCCTAAGGCAGTAGTTCTTTGTGTGTGTGTGTGTGTGTGTGTGTACGCATGTGCATGCATGCACATGTGTTTGGGGGTAGGGGTGATGATTATGGAATTTTTGTAAACTCAGATGAATCTATGAAATAGCTGAAAAATGCACATCTGCAGAGAATGCTATCTGTACTTCAGGAGGTTTGTGGATGCTCTGAAGGCCATACATGAGTCCTAGGTTAGGCATAACATGTTTTTCTATGTGGGAAATATGAGATGACAGTTGGGTAACATACGTTTCCTGTTGCTGCTGGATTTTTCGCATAATCACCTATTATTCTACTCTGAGTGTCAGCCTCATTTATTAGTGTGATTGAAAATTTACGTCTCAAACTGTTGAGTGATATTTTAATATTGAAACTCTTATTCTGCTTGCTTCATTCGTTCATTCATTCACTCAAATGCACTTTTAACCCAGAATTTGATAAATTCTAGGCATTTTAATATATTATTTTATTTAATCTCATAGAATAGAAAGTAATTTTTCTCCGTTTTTCAAATGAAGAAACTGAGCTCAGAGAAGTTGAGTAATTTGCTGGAAGTTGTACAGCTAATAAATAACAAAGTCTAGATTTAAATCCAGATTTGCTCCAAAATATGTGAATACCTTAAGAGATAACATTGAAAATGAATAGGCACAATGAAACAAGTTTGTAAGCCGTAGAAATCCCTGGTAGAAAATGGTTAAATAGGCCCCACAGGAGTACAGAGAATGTGTGCTGTGGGAGTTCAGAGAGGGACAAAATTACACATCCTGAATCACTTATGTGATAATTCATTAATTACATGCTTTTCTGGCACCTTAAGGCAGAATAAAAAATGGTGGACAATTGTATAAAATGCATTATAAATAACTTGTAGTTTTTCCTTATTTTTCCAACTTCTGTCGGGTTAGTTGTCTCCGTATCTTCATTTTGTAAGTGAGATGAGGAGACAAAGAGTGATTAGGGTCACAGTACCCTGATCGTGCTGAGTGATTGACTGAATTGGAATTTCAATGCTTTGGGGAATCTGTTTGTTGTTTTTTCCCTGTTATATCGAGTGTGGGACTTTTAACAGAGATAGACTTCTGACCACGCATGGATCAGCACAAATGCAGATGTGAGCAGCTAGAATTTGGATCTTGCCAAGTTGTAATAACTGCCATATGTGTGAAGCTATTGCTTAGTGCTTGGTGACCCACTGTCAGCATGCGTGGGAGCCAGGAGAGTGAAAGCCAGTGTCAGAGTTGGAAGAGGCAGCGCCTTCACCTTACAGATGTGGAAATGGAGGCTCGTAGAAGAGGCATAACTTACTAAAATTCAGGCAGCAGGTTATTGGATGTGAAGCCCAGCATTATTAGTTGCATGACCTTGGATAAGTTGCTCGATTTCTTTGGGTCTCAGGTTTGTTGTCTGTAAAATGGAAACCATACCCTACTGACAGCTCAATTGTGAGGATAAATGAAATACCATTGTGCTTTTCAATACACAGAGGTACTGTTGTCCGTGTGGTTGATAATCTTCTTCACAGCCTATTGAGACAGGCGCAATTTTATAGATTCTATTTCCTAACTTCATTTTGGTACTTTCTAGATCCTGGCTTCTCAAAGTTTTATCTGAGAACCAGCAGCATCAGCATAACGTGGGAGCTTGTTAGAAATGCAAATCTCAGGCCATACTCCAGACTTCCTGAATCAGAATCTTTATTTTAACAAGATCCCCAGGTAGATCATGCACTTATTAGAGTTTGAGAAGTATTCTTTTAGGCCCAAGACCAATTTCAAGGCTATTGGCCATGGCCTGCTGACACTGACTGGCACACTGCCAGCATTCTCGGGGCATGCTGTACCAAGCCTTGAGCTAGCAGGAGGGAAGCTTGTGAAGTCAGTCCCTGAGAACATG